CATAAACCGATTTTCATAACAAAATTCGCATTTAATTTTTTCTTTTATTTGGGTCCACACAAAATTATTACAAGTTCATTTTTTAGTTTTATAAATTATAGTGTTTATTATTACTTTCCATGGCTCTCTTATTATAATTTATAATAATTTATAATAAGAGAGCCATGGAAAGTAATAATAAACACTATAATTTATAAAACTAAAAAATGAACTTATAATAATAATTTTGTGTAGACCCAAATAAAAGAAAAAAATAAATGCGAATTTTGTTATGAAAATCGGTTTATGGGGTAAGAATAATATTCTGAACAACTTTTTCTAATAATTTTTTTTGATATCTCTAACGCGAAGCAAAATATTGACAACTGGCCCTGTTTGTGACTTCGTAGTAGGCCAAGTTCAGATTTTAGTTGAGTATCTCAAAAAATGCGAGCCATCAACATGTATGAATGTGCAAAAATTCAAATAGAGATTCATTCAAATAGCGAAAATATGGGGGTGTCTTCATCTTAAATGCGACACACTGTATATCGAATTTAAACGTTTGTTAGTCTATTTTTAAGGGATACATTTTTTTTATCAGGAAAATTCGACAAACTGACACTGACATCTTAAAAGCCAGTTAAACAGATTCCTAACACCAATATTGATTAGTTTATTTTTTATAGATGTCGCTCTATACAAAATTTAAATTAATTATTATTATGGTTTATAATAGTATTAAATGGGAAAAGTATAGTATGCAACTTTTTTATAAAGTTTTCTAGACACTTATTTTTCTCAAACTTAATACATAATATACTAATAATATAATAATAATAATTTTATTTCCAAAAAGACATTTACATGTGTTGGATATTGTTAATGGTATAAAAAAATATATGGATATAAGTATTATAATAAATAAATCCAAAACTAGAACAATTGATCAGTACTAACATTCACAATTAATATCTATGTAAAATGTTTAACAAATAAAATTGGATTTAAATTCTTCTTTGTGTTCGTCATAGATAAAGTGTAGTATGCTCGTTTTATAAACTTATCTAGACACTCGTTTTTATTAAACACTTGCTTGCAAGCTTCGCTCGTGCTTAATAAAACTCGTAACTAAAATGGCCTTTATTAAATTTGATACATAATATACTATTAATTTCGAGTGGAACATGATTATACAATTTAATTGGCATAGGGCTCTGAGCTGTAAGACACAGGCCATGTTTTTGGATTAAAATTTCATTGATATGTCTTAAATTGTAGGAAATGTTTCAGTGAACCTTATAAATTTATTTAAATTTTTTTGAACATATACTAGACTGGACAAAATGTACAAGGACACTATTGTTAATATTCCAAAGCTCGTTAAATAATTCTCCACATGAGTGATATTTGTTTTTAACCTTTATTGTTCTTATGATTCTTTTTGACTCCTTAAAACATCGCTAGCTTTATATACAATGCCATAACTCATGAGTTATGAGTTACTGCAGTAGAGAATTAGTGGACATAATAAAAACTTTTTTTGTTTGAATTAGGATGATATCCCTTAAATTATTATTAGTATTAATAACCAATGTTTTAATAAATTTTATTAAATGGAAATAAATTATTAATTATTATTATTATAATCAATACAATTTAATAATTGTCTACTGTATTTTTAATAATATGTACACAAAATTATATTAATATGTTTTTTTATTTTTGTTTTTTATTTCGTTCATAAGGTGCATACAGCATGTTTTCTACAACTGTATTAAAATATTAATATTTTATTTTTGGCTGCATTACGTTTTATCAAAATAAAATTGACATGTATCAATTTACTTTGTTTATTTACACCTTAATGCGGCAATGTTACTTTTGCGCATATTCGCGTACTGACTAAGGAATTTCAACGGTTTGCAAAAAAGATTGTTACTAGCTTAAAATCGACAGATTGATTATTTATTGGGGCACCTGGTATAATAAATATCAAACAATTTCGTGAAATTGATTTTATCAAGCCACACTTATACGTGTGACTTCCTTGTACCATATGCACCCCCTTCGAACAGACGACGATTTTCTTCGCAGAAATATAATATAAATAATTATTTATGTACCCCGTACGTAAAGCAACAACAAAGCCGAAGAAATAAAGGTAACACCGGTTAATGTTTCCCCCTGTCCATAGGTATTTTATTCGTACGCAAACTTGCATACCCATACATACGTACGACTCGATATCCCCCATCCATGCGCGTGTAGAAGTGTGTGTGACAGTACCGATCGGAAGTTCTCAGGATCCGAGCTGGCTACAGGTGTATAATCGCTTCCCCTACTGTCGGTTTTAATTTATTCGACCCTCTCTGTCTTTGGCATCTTTCTTTTTCGCTTTTTTTAATGTTTGCTTTATAGAGTTAAACTGTTGATTTTTTTATTTGTTTTTAAGTTAATAAAATTGTAGAAACAAATTTTATATATTTTTTTAAATTACTTTACTAATTTTAGAATAAAGAAACTAATTATATATTTAACTTTTTTGCTAAAACAATTCAAAACACTACATTTGTGGTTTTATTATTTAAACAGTAAAAAAATGCTTTAAGTAAGGAGGACCTTACTTTAGTCTTAAACAGGAACTTTAAATATTATAATATACAGGGTGTCACCAAATAAGTTGTCATCCTTTAAGGGGATGATAGTAAATAAAATAAAAAAATCATCAAAATTTAGTAAAGTAGAAATTTTGGTCCGCCACTGGTTTTCCTGACCTATGACAACTGACGCCAAATATGCTTGCACAGTGGGCAATAATCTACATTCATTAAAAATTTACATTTGGGTATTTCAATTGTAACGGGTGCGACAATAAAACTGCGATTTTTTATGACAATAAAGTGTTTGTTCATATATATCAAGATAAGTTAATATAAAAAAATAGTATGAGTAAAGGGCGCGACCTTAGAAAATCGGCAAGTGCGACCAAGTTGGCTTCTAAAGTTGATACTGTAAAATTTTGGATGAAAGCATATAGTAATAATTTTTTGTGTAAAACTTGAATAGTAACCTTGAACAAGCACGTATTTTAAATGTAGAAAAATTTTATACTTTATTTTCTAAAATTTTCTTAAAATGTAACGGGTGCGACATTTGAACATTTTATCGAGTACTGAAACTCTTCCGTGTTTATTCTTAATGTTAGCTACTTAGCGTCACAATGTACGAAAATTTTAAGGTTATAAATTACGTCCCAATTAAACTATTTGAGATATAGTTGTTATTTTGTTAAATAATACAACTGATTTTTTGTCAAGGTGGGGTAAGGTTTCTTGGAAATACCCATTTGTCTTATCATTGATACTTGCTGATATTTGTTTTTTGCTTTGCATACTCCGCTATTTTTAGGTACTAAAAAAACAATACTTACTTTTTGTTATTAGGTATCTCGAGGTTTTCGTGGCTTTCCCGTAAATTTTAAATTTCACCTTTCACTTTTTACGTCGATTGATGCTCATGTAGCTATTTTTTTAAGTGTTCCACAAAATCATAATAATTTTTAACTACCCCGCCGTTATTATCCACAAAAAGTTGACAGCGGAGTAGAAAATTATGATGAGTCACTCTTGCTATCATATCCGCATGCTTTCGGATTTCATCTGCCGCTGCAGAGACAAGTTCGATGAGTTGTTCTAATGTGTCAACTTCGCTCTGGTACACTACTGTTCATGAAGCCCCAGAAAAACTACAATAACAACCGAACTGTCAGTAATTAATGATAACAAAATTCCGACTAACCGATTTGAAATAAGTTTAAAAGTTTGCTTGATATTACATAATGCACTTTGCAAATAATATTATGGTTTTTATAGGTAAAAATAATGATGATATATAGAATAGGTCAGTGACATCCAGTGGCTCCCTGGTTTTGCCAACAAAATTTCATAATTTTTTTATTAAAAAAATAGTATCTCTAATGCAAAAATAAGAGAAAACAACTTTTTTGTTTTGGCGAGTACTATCAAAGGATGACAATTTTTTAGGTGGCACCCTGTATAATATTTAACAATATAATATGTTAACAAAATAATAACAAGTGAGTTTGCACTTCAATTTAGTTTAGCAAAAAAGGATTTTAAATTTTAAATTGATAGGATCCCTAAACTGAATATATTTACAACATTTAAAAAAATCCAGTTAACCCAAGCCTTTAATCTAGTTTAACAAATTTTTTTAAATTGCTGAGAACTTTAATTTTCTAAAAAAAAACTGTAGTCTTGGTGCAATCAATTTACAAATTAAATTGCCAAAATTGTCTATTTTTGTGTTTAGTTCGTAAGTAAATTCTTACCAGGATCCTGAGAACTTGACCGATCACGACTTCCTTTACTAACAGCGATTCCCTGATTATAACTACAAGTGTTAAGCGAAACGAGTGGTGCTAATCAATGGCAACGTCGCGACGCGTCGCTCAGCATAGAAGACCTTAATTTACCAGGATACTGAGAAATTAATCCGTTGTTCAAAATCTGGCAAAGTATTTTTTTTAATGTCATAATTTAGTTTTTTAGAACAAAACAAGTTATTAAACTTTATAATTTTATTTTACTTTGTTGCCTTATATAATATTAATTATTGTAATATTAAATTAATAAAATTTACTTTATGACTAGATTCTGTTCGGGGAACTAGCCAGGATACTAATAATTAGGCAATTTGAAAATAACTAAGTCTTAATAATTTTAGGTACCCAACTAGAAACAGATTATCTATGCTGAGCCTTAAGAGTTTTTGAAATTGTCACGTATAGAATTAGGAGATTTTAAAATTATGGAAATATAAAACCAACCCTTTTATAATTCTTAAATACCTTATAAGAATAAAACAAATGTATTATAAAAAATAGATTTATTGTTCAATGGCAAATCAGCATTTCAGTCTTAAAATATTTTAAATCATCAAAAAAATGCATTCATACTTATGTTAAATTAAAGCTTTATATATCATTTAGTAATCACAGGAAATCGATTTCATCAAATCACCAGGGTCTCCACATATCTCCATTATCCGCTGGTGCGTTACGGTCTTCCTCTGGTACAACCCTCTGGTAACTCGACGATGAACATTCTCTTTCCCTGCGAAAACTTGGCGACATTTTAAGTACTTTTGTGGGTTGCGTTGGAAAATCAGCAAATGTTAACAGATTTGAAACGGTTTCACTGTGCTTCCTTTTGACTCCATATTGTGGATGGTTTTCTTCGTAATGAGCGGAGTCTTCTTTTGTTTGGGCTTGCTTGTAGCGTTCGTTGTGGTTGGTTATAATGCAGAGAGGCTCTGCGATTTTTTTTGGATTTTCCCTGGGTTTTTCGAAGGTTTTTAGTATGGGGAATTTCATGGTTTTAACTTCTGGTTGTATGAAGGTATGTTTATCAGCGATGGTTATGGTGGATGAAATTTGTGGTACTTGGTGGTCCTCGTGGTATTGTTTTTGGACTGGTCTAAAACCTTGTGGTGATTGATATCTCGGTAAATCTTCGTGGATTTGTATGGGGCTCATTGGTGGACTTAATGGTTTGGAAGTTGTTTCGGAGTGTGGTACTACTGCAGCAAAAGCACTGTTTCTATTTTGGAAGTTATTTTGTTGTTGGTTCACTTGTGGAAAGTAAGGTAAGTTACTTGAATTTGGAAGAAGCAAAGCCAATTCTCCACTTGGTAATCTACTTGGTATCAATTGAATTCCTTGTGGGATTTGAATCCTGGGGTTGTTATTTTGATCCCCAACATTAATACTTTCATTTAACTTCTGCTGGCTAAATATGTTAGAAGCGTTGGACAAAAATGGTAAATTATTGAATCCAGGAAAATTAAATTGGGCTACTTGCTCAATACCACCAATACATTTCTGTAAATGAGCTGAAATTCGCTGTTTCATAGCTGAATCAACTCCATCTAACGTGGAAATATATTTATCGATTTCTTTTGAGCATTCGTTAAAACCACTTTTGAATTTGCGTAGCACTGATGGATCGGTAGCCATTGCCATTGCCAGTTGTTGTCTTTGAGTGTTTTGGAGGTGTTTAACTGCCATTTCTAGGATGTCAGCTTTTTCTAGTTTTGAGTGACGGGCAGGCTGTAAAGAAAAAAAATGATTTAGAATAGTTTTAAATTTTTATTTTTAAATTTTTCTATGTATTATTATTTCTTTAATTTTTATTAATATGGGTTATACTTGATACTTACGTCTTTATTCATAGCTTCCAAAATAAGACTTTTGATATCATTAAGACAGTGGTTGATTCTCGCTCTTCTGCGTTTTTCCATTATTGGTTTGTGTGTTTTTCTTAGCTCTGCTTTTGACATTGTTGTCTGCGGTTCTTGCATGTTTCTGGAGTATTCGTATTCATCGTCGCTGATAGGCATTGTTGCTGATTTTATAAAACTTAATCCAAAATTTGTATCCTTTAAAGCACTGTGTGTACACTATAAACTGCGGTAATCCAAAGCACGTAAATATTTCACTGAATTTAGCCAAACTATTTTAGGTTGTTGACTGTATGGTTCACAATTTGAGAATGATGTAAATGTTGTGAAAAAAAGGTAGATATACATTCCGATGGATCGTGGGAATATTTTACAGCTACCCCCACCACTGCGGAGCGGTATCGCATCGACTTGTAGCATCGGTTGGTCATAGGGTGTCCCATCGTGGGCAAGTAGGGTGTAGAATGGGCTAAACGAGGCACCTGGGGTCTCGCTCAGGCCGTACCAGCTATAAAAACCGGGGCAGTAAATAGATTATTTGCGACGATGGGTCCTGTAAACATTATTAGTTTATGATGGATGGCATCAATTGGTTTATTATCTATTGCTTTTTTGAGAAAATAATATTTTAATTTCTATAGTAATTTGGCAATAATTTAAAAAAATATTTAACATAAGCTTTATAATATAAAGATTATGTTAAATATTTAAATATTATGTATACAATAATAATAGTTTAAAAAAATGGTATTTGTTTTTATAAAAATCAACAAATAACACATTTGTTTATCTATACCCAAGTCATTTTGTAAAAAAGTCGATAACAAAATATTTATATGTTAATATTAATTTTTTACCTGTGTTCTCGTACTGATAATTGTTTAACACACTTTAAACGTAAAATAAACAAAATAAAAATAAATGAAATAATTTTTCATTAATTTGAAAAAATAGTAAATTATGTAACAAGATTTTTAAATGCAATTTTAGTCACAAGTTTTAATTAGGCACGAGCGAAGCTTTCGAGTAAGTGTTTAATACTATACATTTACTTCTTCTATTTTTGACATTATTTGGGTTTTTTTCCTATATAATAATAACCATTATAACCGTTTCGCCTAACAACGGGAACAATAAACTTATTATTCCTAGTATACTAAATAAAATCTGACATCTGTCAAATGATCTAACCTCACTTTATGTATAAAATAATTCTTTTTTTCTTTTTAATATGGAATTAGTAGGTACGAAAAATACAAAGACATGTCAGACAGTTTTAACCTCACTGCATAAAGTCAGAGTTTGTCAATGAAAGAATTTTATGTTTTGAAAAATAATAACTAAAGATACTAAATTAAAAAACGGTTATAATGATAAACATTTCAACGGTCTCGCCTAACAACGGGAATAATAAACTTATTATTCCTAGTATACTAAATAAAATCTGACATTTGTCAAATAATCTATCCTCACATTTTAAGTTTTCCTTTATTTCTTTTTAATTCTCCAAAAGAAAATTGAATGGAAGTAGTACGTACGACGAATACAAATACATGTCAAACAGTTTTAACCTAATTTTTTTCTAATTTGTAATAAAACTTCAGACTGTGACTAAAAAGTCCAAAAGGAACTGTTGCTAACTTCAGCCCGTGACTAAAACGGCATAAAGACACAGTTTATCAATGTAAATAACGAATTTTAAGTTTGAAATATAATTACTAAAGAAACTAAAGAAACTAAAGAAACTAAAGAAACTAAAGAAACTAAAGAAACTAAAGAAACTAAAGAAACTAAAGAAACTAAAGAAACTAAAGAAACTAAAGAAACTAAAGAAACTAAAGAAACTAAAGAAACTAAAGAAACTAAAGAAACTAAAGAAACTAAAGAAACTAAAGAAACTAAAGAAACTAAAGAAACTAAAGAAACTAAAGAAACTAAAGAAACTAAAGAAACTAAAGAAACTAAAGAAACTAAAGAAACTAAAGAAACTAAAGAAACTAAAGAAACTAAAGAAACTAAAGAAACTAAAGAAACTAAAGAAACTAAAGAAACTAAAGAAACTAAAGAAACTAAAGAAACTAAAGAAACTAAAGAAACTAAAGAAACTAAAGAAACTAAAGAAACTAAAGAAACTAAAGAAACTAAAGAAACTAAAGAAACTAAAGAAACTAAAGAAACTAAAGAAACTAAAGAAACTAAAGAAACTAAAGAAACTAAAGAAACTAAAGAAACTAAAGAAACTAAAGAAACTAAAGAAACTAAAGAAACTAAAGAAACTAAAGAAACTAAAGAAACTAAAGAAACTAAAGAAACTAAAGAAACTAAAGAAACTAAAGAAACTAAAGAAACTAAAGAAACTAAAGAAACTAAAGAAACTAAAGAAACTAAAGAAACTATAGAAACTAAAGAAACTAAAGAAACTAAAGAAACTAAAGAAACTAAAGAAACTAAAGAAACTAAAGAAACTAAAGAAACTAAAGAAACTAAAGAAACTAAAGAAACTAAAGAAACTAAAGAAACTAAATAAAATAAAGAAGCATACATACATAATATGTATATGTATATGTATATTATACACTATTATATTACCGTGTGTGGACACCTTAATCAATGCATAATAGCATAATATATTACAGTAAAAGTGTTTTTGTTATTTTAAGCATAGGTTTTTATTTTTAATTTTTTTTTGTATTGTTATTTTATGTAATTTTGAAAATGTCTATGGAGCAGTTCTGTGTTTAAAACTATGGTTTTCCAAATAATAATTCTAATTAAAATATTTTAGTTATTTTAATATCAACATTAAAAAAGTATTATATTGATATAACGAGTAGTTAAGGGATTTATATTACTAAAAAAACTTAATAAAATGCCAAAATTTTTGGCTTAATAAAAGACAACTTTATTAATATGTTTATAAGAAATCTTAATGATTTAATCCAGGGTAACCAAGCATAAACCCTTAAAACTGAAAATCACCCCCTTCAGTCAACTCGAATTAAGTAACACTTAAAACAATTAGAAGTAAACTCATTGATCCTTAACAAAACACACGTTTTCAAATTACCATACCTGGCAGTAGCAGCAGTAGTAAGCGTAAGTGTAAGGGCGATTTGCACCGGTTCTTCTCTATGTTAGCATGGGTATGCGTGCGTGGGAATTTTTCGTGGACGAGAAGCTCAAAACGCTGCTTGCTGCAGTCAGTGTGTGAAGTTATTTAGGCAGGGCAAACGAGCGAAGGCCGCAACACCCTGCTCTCCCAAATGACACCTGAATCGTTAAACGCGTCAAACTCGAATGTTTATCACAAATATAACTTTTTTTTACTATTAAACATTAATTAAAAATTTAGTTTAGGAAATTTCTAAGAGGAATAAATAGTACCATTTTGGCAATAATTACTAAACTTTCAAAGAAGCTATTGCATAGTTTGAAATAACCATATCATCATCATTTCCATTTTTAGAAGTAAATCTTTTAAAAATTTATAAAAATAAAGTATCTATCTGTAGGTTAACCAATATAAAACTATATACATTTAAATTTGTTACATTATTTGTAGATCCAAGACTTAGTTCCTATAAATTAACAGGTGGCTTTAAGCATGATCTATTTTTAGAAAAATCTTGTTCCTGTCGGGGGAGTTTTGAATATCCCGAATAAGTCCAATATTGAGACATGGGAAATAACTGTTAAAATGGTCCTTAGCGTCGTGTGGCCCACAAGCGGATATACAACAAAGGGACAATTCTTCGCTTTATTTAAGAAGGTGGAATAAGGACTAGCAAGAAAAAAATGTTGATGTGCCCTCTCTCAACAAGTGAATAACCATTCTTGAGACAGACAATGATAGATACTGATTCAGAACTTGGGAACAAGTGTTGTGGGTGGATTTAGGTAGATTGTTAACCAATATTGAAGTTTCTCAATGGTATAAAAAATGTTTAAAAAACACTTGAATAAGGGATGGCAATGTAAATATTTTTAGAAGAATTAGGCTTGCAAATATTTACGCAGGAAAAATATTTGGGCATTAATATTGTTTTGCATCTCAACATAAGTAAACTTGGTGATAAAGTAACCAAACAATGGCAAACATCATAAAAACACAAACATTTTTACTGCTGGTTTAAAACATGTGAATTTTTCTTTAATTTAACCGCAATCTTATTTTGCATAGTAAAAAAATATTTGTTAATTTTACCCAAATATTAACCAGATTTTATGTTAATACAGGTCCACATAACTTTATTTTAAGTTTACAACCAACTGTAATCTATTAACTAATTAAATAGGTAGTTTGTAATTATGTGATTATACAGAAACTAAGATTTTTAATAAAGTAATTTGAAAATAGTTTTTTTGTTCTAATTTAATTCTTTAAGTATGCAAATACAACCTTTTGTTTAAAATAAACCCTGCAAAGTGAAAGATCAAACAGTTTAATTGTTTTTTGAGCAGATTTGCGATGTTTTTGTTAAAACTACATCCAGAGGAATGACGAGGCAAGCAGAGGAATTATTATTTTATTCAAAAAGGCAAAGAAATACAATATAGCATAAAAACTAAATAAGTAATTTAAAATAAACTTAAATATAAACTTATTTAAAAACAAAACAGTATCATAAAAATTAAATAGTTACTTGAAAACAAAAATATAAACCTTCTTTATTTCGTAAACCATTAAAAATGGGTAATGAAATAAAGCAGGTTTATATTTTTGTTTTTCAAGTAACTATTTTATTTTTATCTACGCCAGTGAGATAATAACTTCTTATCCCACTCATTTTGAGTGAGATAAGAAGTTCATTAACGCACGCGTTTTTCTCTGCTTTTAACCAATCAAATAAAAAAGTCAAAATGTTTACCGTTTATTTTTTCATTTAGAGGCGTAGAAAAATTCATCAATTAAGTTTTTAAATTTATTATACAGTTTGGAGCCTTGCTGAATTATTTCGGGACGTGGTAATATTGTTTTTATGTATAATAATAATTGGCAATTAACGCACGAAACATTCTTTTCATATGAGATTTCTACCCCAAACTGAGTATCACTGAGATATCTTTTTTGCTTTATTAGTCTATATTTTGAAGAATAGTCTTTTTATCCAGGACATAGAATACTATTTAAATCGAATTCCAAAAAAATTTGAATTGCA